GCAGCAACAGCAGGAGCCTCAACTGGAGCAGCAACAGCAGGAGCGGCTGCAGGAATAGCTGCTACTCCAGGAATGGAGAGAAATTCAACATCGGCGGGGTTACTACCAGGTTCTACACCAGGTTCGTTACTCTGAACTTTTGCCATAAATCCACCAAGTCCAGCAGTGTACTCTACAATTCTCTGACGCCCATCCTCGTCATTTAAACTGTAAGACCCTTCTACGTTTCCAGTGGTATCTCCTTTTTCAGACCTAGAGCTCAATCCAGTTCCTGCACCGGCTGTATACATGAAGGAGAACGGAGACGGCTGTCCAGAGATGTTGATATTTATTAGTTATAACAGATTAACGATCAGAAAATGTTTTAATTCACAACAAATATGCATACACTGAAGATAATAAATAAATAAAAAACAATATTATACCGTAGAAGTGCAAAAGTTATTTAAGTTATGATTTGATTTTACAAATCGTGTTTGATTTGCTTAAGTTAATTATAGGTACACAGATAAATGATTTAAAGAATAATGTTTGCGATAACTACAATACGCAAATATAAACCCTAATTATTTTTAGTTTAGAAATAAAATACTTCCTCTCCATATTTTCTTCTTTGAGAGCCAAAAGTCTTCAATGTTTTATGAAAGTATTTTAATTATATTGAATTAATAGTTTCCAAGCTTACGGGTATAAAATACAGATAAATATTAACGTACTGGAGCAGGGGCGGCAGGGGCAGGGGCGGCAGCACGAACATGAGCTGCATCAGAAGCAGGAGGAGAAGGAGCTGCAGCAGGAATAGCTGCTACACCAGGAATAGAAAGAAATTCTACGTCAGCAGGATTGCTACCAGGTTCCACACCAGGTTCGTTACTATGAATTTTTGCCATAAACCCATCGATTCCTGCATTGTAGTTTACAATTCTCTGACGTCCATCCTCGTCCTTCAAGCTGTAAGATCCTTTCACTTTTCCAGTTTCATCACCACTCTCGGACCTTGAGCTTGATCCAGATAACTTGATCAAAACTGAGCTTTATTGACACACAATCATAAATCAAAATAATTAAATTTTTACAGCCTTCTCCTTTCTCCTTCTTGTACACCGCCGGTGCAGGAAGAAAGAAATATAAGTCAATAAATTTAATTAAATGAGGAAGGCATTTTATACGATAAAAATCATAAGAAATACTCTGTTACTGATTATATTGTAACTTTACGTTTAATTTTATGAGGAGAAATAAAATGATTGTTAAAAATAATAAACAATAATTACTTTTCTTATAATAAAACATTTATGATTGTCTTATCTGTCACAGATTGTTTCTTTTGCGTATAATAACTAAAAGGTCTTCAATTATTTTGTTAAAAGGTTGTAGAGTAGTTATTTAAATGTACAAGCTTATATAAAACACATTAACTAACTGGAGCGGAAAGTTCAGGTAGAGAGGCAGCAGGGGCAGGAGCGGCAGCATGAACGGGAGCTGCACCAGAAGCAGCGGGAGCTGCAGCAGGAATAGCTGCTACACCAGGAATAGAAAGAAATTCTACGTCAGCAGGATTACTACCAGGTTCCACACCAGGTTCGTTACTATGAATTTTTGCCATAAACCCATCGATTCCTGCATTGTAGTTTACAATTCTCTGACGTCCATCCTCGTCCTTCAAGCTGTAAGATCCTTTCACTTTTCCAGTTTCATCACCACTCTCGGACCTAGAGCTTGATCCAGTTCCTGCACCGGCGGTGTACAAGAAGGAGAAAGGAGAAGGCTGTAAAAGAAATAAAAGTTTATTGGTATATCTAAACGTAGTACCAGTAATGAAATATATATGAATAAATACTAAGAAAAATATTATGCGTAAGTTTTCGTTTAAGGCTTTGAACATTAATGCTTTGAAAATATGATATAGATACTATGTTAGTAACAGTTCTAAGACAGCGAGCCAACACAAATGTATATTGCAGATTAGACATTTCTAAAGCAAATCCGGTTAGGAATCAATATTTCAAAACTCCCTCGGAAAGGCAGTATGTAAGAATATTTAGTATGTTTCTCGTAATCCAAAATATAATAACACAGTATTCCATTACAATAGTATAACGTTTTACAGACAAAAACTTTGAATCTTTTCCTGGCGTTTACTATCGAAAAATAGTCGTTTATCTAAATGATGTTCCTTGATTATTGTTTGTAAAATATATTTAAACACAGAAATACACACACATATATATGTGTGTGTGTGTGTGTATTTACATATTAAATATCTCAGTATTTGTGGCTTTTTTATAATACGATTTACACATTGAAATTAAAAGTAATTAATCAATACAGTTAAGTAGCGTCAAATATTTACAAGGGCTTCAGCGGGTTCTATAGCTCTCCCAGCGTTAGCAGAGGGTAGCGCAGCTGGAAACGCTAAGGCACCTTCGGGAGCAAGAACAGAGACGTCATCGGGGTTATTTTCTGGTTTTAGTCCTTGTTCGTTGGTTCTGATAGTAGCAGAAAACCCATTTCCACCAGCAGCATAATCAACCATTTTCTTTTTCTCATCTTCATGTGTCAAACTATAAGATCCCTTCACTTTTACAGAGGAATCTCCATCCTCTAATCGTCTGTGAGACCCCTTTCCAGAAACAGCGTTGTACATATAGGAAAAGGGGCTAAACTGTAAGATGTAAATTACTGAATGCCGCTCCAAAAAGGTTAAATGCTGTTGTCATAATTATTGTTATTTTATGTACATGTATTTTGCTATTTATCTTTTATATGTATTCACATATACATGTATTAGCAAGTCAGATATCCTACAGACCCAGAGAGAAAACGAATAGCGCAATTACAGAGTTTCTCCAGTCAATTAAAAAGCTATTAAACATGAAATATAACTCATATCAACAAAGTACTTGACGTAATATAGTATTCTAATTTTATATTTATTTTTCTTTTGTTTAAAAATACTCGGAATGTTCATCTTTAATGTCCCAAGATTAAATATTTCTTATTTAATATAATTGTGATATAATTATTTACAACAATGTGTTTTGTATGGGTGGTACTGGCATCCTCAAATCATGTGCTAAAATTAGCATTTTAACAGAAACATTTCCACAGCGAGTTGTATCTTCAGGCTGAGACCTCAAGTAGGAGAGATTTTGAGTTTTGTATTAGATAGGAATAAGAATAAACTAAGGCATTAAAAGTGATGTAAAATATAACTTATCCTTACATATGTCATTTGACGAAGTGATTTTGGGGCTGTAATTTTACTTCAGTGTAATATCGCATGTAATCTGTTTCACTAAATACGTTAAACATTGAAACGCTAAACATAATGTCTTACTTATTGTCCTACACAATAGTATATTACATATTTGGCCGAGCTGTGATTATAATTTACAGAAAATATGTTGAAGTTCATGAATAGTTAAAAAATAAAAATAGATAAAGTACAGAAAATTATTCTTACTTCTTCAGCAGGTTCAAGGAGACTGGGAGGAACCTCCGGTAGCGAAACTTCTGCTTTGTAAGCATGTGGCACTAAATGAAAGATAACACCTCTGCCTGCTGGTATTCCTTTGCAAGCTCCAAGCGCCAACATGGAACAGAAAAGAAGTATCTGTAAAAATATGTCAAACAATGATAATTTCCCCTCCCTTTGAATTATGTTAATTAAAACTTCAGTTGTTTCTTTACATAAAACGTGATTTTATTGCTTTAGGCATTTTTCGGTTACCATTCATTACATATTGACTTTATATAAAACTAAAAATTCCTTTTTTAATTACAAAAGAAGAAGAAGAGTGAGTATAATACCAAACTCTGTCTAAAAAAGGCTGTAGTTTCTTAAGCTACAGATGTATAATAACTGTAGATTAGGTTTCAATTTCTCCTACGGTATTGAACAAGGTAGTACTAATGATAATGTATGTTCAGAAATCTGACTTTTGGATGCTCTCCTTTATTTTAATACATATATATAATCAAGTTTTCAAATGTTAAATGCAGTGACTACTATTTACGAAGTACTTGCTAAAAATTGCAAAATTTCTCTACTGTAAAACCTAAATTAATTCACAGTTGATATAAAATATTTACTGTATTTCCTCATTATTGGATTAAATCTATATAAACTTATATACCGGAAAAGCGAAAGACATGTCACATCCATCAGTCCAGGTTATCCTGTATAACCAAAACATCTGTCCTACTTATCTTTTATGTTTCATCAATAATATATTGTAGCAGACAATGTATTGGTGAACATTATCCTGTATAGCCAAGACATTCTGTCCTTATTAATTTTTATGTTTCGTCTATTTTCTATTGTGGTAGGAAATGTATCGGTGAAAATTGTTTAAAATCGAAACTCTCTGTGCAAATTAAATATTTTAAATTCGATACGATCTATAATTCTTCATGATCTGTACGTACTATTCTAAAACATCTGTAACATTCTAACAAACATTATATTACTTATGGTGAAACGAGCTAATTTATTATCCTTTTTTGGAGTCAGCTATGAAATTGAGCTGGCCAGTTGTGTTTGTTGTAGTCTTGCCAATTTCTATATTTACAGAAAAACCTATGGCAACATACATACCCCGTGGACCATGTTGAAATGTTCTGCCATCCTCAGTGTTTCTCCTCCAGATGGATGGTGTCTAACGCTCTCATATAGCTCTCTCTTTTATATACCTGAACGGGAGAACATCTTCAAAACTCGTGGAAGGACAACAGGGTAAGGATGATCTAATTTCCATAATGACTGTACCGCCAACTGCTAGAGACCTTGAGCATTTATGCCGTAGCTCATCCTTCTAGCCTCGAAGACGTTGTGCACGTGAAAGGTGATCTGGTGTTATCTACTTTACCTCCACGTATACATGTTTCTTTCTTTCTCTATCATAATAATTGTGTCTGATTTCTATCTGTGATTGGCATTTTTCTGCCATTTTCTCCAGATCTAAATCCCTTTGGATTGTTTTGCAGTTGCTTCGTCTTAATGTTATATTGATCATCTTCCAATTATTAGGCCTATGTGATGCTGTAACTTACACTAATAATTATGGAAACTTTTGGTTTATGTCATATAGTGTTGTTATTTTGAAAATGTTCATGGAAGTGCTTTTGAAGTTTTTCTTCTTCTGTAAAAATGTAAGCTCTCAACACCTATAATATTTAAAGAAAATATCCTGTTTTCTTTATCATAACTATATGTAAAATCAATGTTTTTTCTAAACTCTACATTAATATTTTAATTTCATTATTGAAAAAAGAAGAACTTTTTTAAAGGCTCCTGACAATATTAGTTAAACATATTTGTTTTCTTAGTGCAAAGCTACTCATTGGCTGTCTGCGCTGTGGCCGCCACCGTGAAACAAACTCCGGATCTTGCGTTGTAAGCCCGTAAACTTAGAGCTGACTAACCGGGGAACAATAAATTAAATAAAGATTCACAACGGTTGTGGAGATATCGCATAACTATAAAACATTTAGGGAATACTTTTCGATACAATATATTTCTATGCTCGCAAATTTTTGAACACCGTCGGAAGCGTAAGAGGATTTAATTTGATAAATCGTCAGCAGATTACTAGATAAGGAGAAATTACTGTAGTAAAGGTAATTTTATATTTCATTTCATATTAAGTCTAGCGCAACGAATATATAGGACTTGGGAAATTTTTGTTCTGATTTGTAGGTAATATAAAAGTAATTTGTTTTCAGTTATCATAGATGTAGTCAGAGTTGGATAATAAGTGAACAACTGAAGATAGAAATCGTAAAATTTGATCTTATCACACTAAGATTATACTACATATGCTTAAGTCATATACCTAACATATCGTATAGCGATTTTAATCATCTTATTTTAATCTATTATGTCTTTATGTTAGGAAAACAAACTTATACATGTATTAAATGGTGCTGAAGCAAATCGAAGAATAAGGTGCAAAGATGAAAAAATTAAATCAAATAATAAAAGGTAATGCTTTCAAAATTAGCCAATAGGAAGAATTTTACTTTTTCTACTGCTATATCCAAATAAAGTAGTTTGATAACATAGAATATCTTCCTCAATCAGCAAAGCGTTGGTGGCAGGAATTTGGGATAAGAAATCCCAGTTCAGTGAAACTTATTAAGGTTCTAGCATACGACGATTACAATTTACAGTTTTCAATTAGAGAAAAACTGGCCGAGCTATGACTGGCCACTTCAGAAATTCCGTAGTTAATGACAGAACTTTTTGTTGTGTAAACGAATCCGCAAAGTGAACCTTCTATTTTGTTAGTCCGTTGATGCATCTGTTTATCAGATTCCAACAGATCTTTAACAGATAGCTTTGAACCCCGCTGACCGTGACTAGAACTTTGCTACTCTTTGACATGTTATCATGGACCACCATTAATCTCTTGATTACTTGTATATGAGAGTTTCCGAGACGTTCGACTAGAAACCTATTCAGCCGCTGTGGATGCAACCACAATCAACTTTTTGACATCCCTTGTTGACAAGGGCAGTAGTGGCAGTAGTAGTAAGTAGCCTTTTGCCAGATCACAAGATCAAGAACAAGGTCTCCAATCGCAAACAGACAACAAAGAAAGGTTGCATAATTTGATTTGAGAAAAAAAGATAACCAACTAGTGTGTGTGACCGTTGATGGTAAGGTGGTGCGGACAAAATGAAATCAAGGGCTCATAACTCCTGACGGAAATATCTTACCATCATTCGGATACATCAGATTCCGGACTTTCCAACAGTGTATACAACACTTTCAACAAACAATTATCGGAATTTGTAGTTCATTGTTCTTCCATTCTGAAATAATACTTCTTCTCTGGTTGAAGAAAAGAACCCGTGTTAATAAAAATTCTTATTGTAATATGCACTTATTTTGATCTTCATATAGAAGAAATTTTCAGAACTGCTACTTCGTAATTAATTAAAACATGAAGAAAATTCACTTATACAAACTATTTATCTATATGTACCCCGAGTATCAGTGTCTATTTATTATGTAGTTCCATATCTTTCTCTTTGTATTATAATTCTGCTCATCTGCTTGTGTCTAATTAGCATTGTTTTCTTCTAATTATTTTTGTTTGTTTAGTACAGGCGTGACTTTTGAAGTATCTATAGTTACGATTTGGTTATCTGCTCTTATTTGTATTTTATCGAACTACCAACCTGTTTCTGTGAAATATCAATTTATACAAATGTAAAAAAAAAAATTAAGAAAAAAAATATGAAGTAGGAATGGGAGCACCAAAAATTAAGGAAACAAGGTAAGAATGGGCAGAATAACATTACAACACTTCCTACTTCATGGGCTTTTAGTAACATGGTAATGTTTCAAACTAAATGAAAGATATGTGTAGCTAAATTTGTTTGTTGTAAACTTTGTTTCAATAACCAAGTACAAATACACGTATGATATCAAATTATGTGATCATAACGAAATGCATGAAATCATAAGGGGAGTGTTTGATGTCGGAAGTGAGACAGGAAACTCCAATACTCATACTTTGCTAATGGGAGACATTATAGTTATCGTAACGGTAAGACGTTGGCCAAAAGAATAGTATTAAAACCGCAGATTTTTCAAAAGTTTTAATTTGTTGAGCATTTAGAAAGGATTAGCTACTGATAAAACTCAATTCAAGTTTATAATTGAATCAAAGTTCAAAGTAAACCACAAAGTAGGAATAGGAGGAAAGATGGCAACATCCACTTTGATGTTACACCGTGTCAAAAAATACCAATTCCTACCTTGAGTACTTACTATTTGGTGCTCCCATTCCTACTTCCCATTTTATTTATTTAAAAAGTGTTTACACATGTCTCATAGTACTATAGTCTCACTTAGTACTATGTCTCGAGAGTGACTGGGCTCCAGGCCTATCCTTCTCATATCTTTTCTTACCTATCTCTCGACATTTCCTGGCTTTTGCTGATGTCTTGGCCATAGTTTTCTTCCATCTAACCAAGATGGTAATCTTGTCTTTGGCTGGACTAAAGGCTTGTTTCGTATATTCAACATTACTCTTTCCAACCTTATCTCTATTCTTACAGTAATGCTCTCTTCGCTAGAACAAAGACTTTTCAACGTTTTCAACATAATATTTTCTCCTTTTCTTTCATTTTGTTTCCTTGAAAGGCATAATTTAAAAATTGCAATGTTTCAAGTACAACTTTAGATGCCAATAGGACATATTTAGTTTGAAAACAATGCAACGGTAAATTACACAACTTATCATTCTTGTTTTCAGTCCAGAACACTCGAGTAAAGCCTTGTCAGCCTTCGGCAGTGGCAGCGTTCGTCCTCACGTAGGAGACGCACGTCTTAGGCACCGACTGCTATGACATAATTGCTCCTTCCAACACAGAACCCTCAATTCAGATGTATAGAATTGAAAACTTCGTTTTCAAAGGTTAGATCATAGCTAGCGCCTAGATCTAGAGAATCTATGCAGTCCACGTTTTTATATTTACCTAATAGAGCTGCAGGCTGATCACGTAGGGCGTTCGCATAAGCAGTCGTGCTCCCGCATGTAATATGAGGGCGGGTTGTTTCTTGGCAATAATGCTACTAATGTATTGTTAGCTCGTTAGTAGTGTTGAAAAGTGGTTATCGTTATTATCAAGGTTATAAATAAAAGTAAGAAAAAACGCTTTTATCCAAAGTAGCGTAATTCAGGAATGCTCATTTAGATTTGCATAAGGGGAAGGCAGGAAAGAGATAATCATTTCCAACAACGTCAGTCAGTCAGTCAGATAGTCAGATTAACTAATTTGTGATTTTGTGAAATTTTTGTTTTTACTCTACCTATTTTTTCAATTGCTTTGGCGGCTTGTTACTCTGCTGTTGGTTTGTTTACTACTAACA